GAAAGAGTTGGGATCCTGGGCTCTGTCCCCAGCTCTGGAAGGGGAAGGGACTAGTGGTCAGAGCCTGGGAACTGGTAGCCATGAGTCCTGGGATCTGCTCTAGGTCTGGGATGGGTGCAGTGCTTGGAGGAAAAGGATGCTGGTACTGCTCTCACCTCTGTGCCTGCCCCATACTGGGCCAGTTCCTCTTGCTGTACACTTTCCAGCAGGGCCCTGGTGTCCTGTGGCTGTCCTGTGTGTGTGGTTCAGAAAGGGAGAGCAATTCAGATGCGAGAGGATGATGAAGGGGAAGAGCTCTGAGCCTTTGGAAGTGGAGTCAGTCACTGGACACTTGCTATGAGCAGCCAGGTCTGCCCTCCGAGGTGTCAGAACAGAGTAGCCAGTGCCCCTTTAGCTCACACCCTTGTTCACTGTGTGGGAACTTCCCCATACAGGCAAAGCCCAGGTTAAACCAACCTACTGTTTGCCTGGCTCTGGCTCAGAGCTTCTGTGAGCTGCTGCCAGGAGAGGGCTCTGGTTACTGCATTGAGGAGGCAGCCCCGTCTCTTTCCTTGTTGAACTTCCGAAGTCACACCCTGCTCCTGCTGCCTCCATTGCATTCAGAAGCTGAGACTGAGCTGGACCTGCTCCCCCAGCATGTCTGTCCTGAGGAGAGACCTGTATTTAAGCCCCTTGGTGCCCAGCCCAGGGGGGAAGTTCTCCAGTGGCTGGAACCAGCCCCTGGGGCATCCCCAGGCTCTGCTGGTACAAGGTCCTGAGCCAGAGACTCCAGGTAATGGAAAGAGACCTCAGGGAAGTGCTAGGGCAGGCAGGACAGAGACCCTCTGCATACACAGTCCTGGGAGCCTTGGATCTGGACAAAGGAGATGAGGCTGTTGTCATATATCTGGATTTCAAGAAGGCCATGGGATTGGACTCCCATGATGTCCTCATGGCTAAGCTGGAAAACTGTGGCTTTGACCATCTCGTGGTCTGATGGCTGGGGAACTGGCTCTGGGGTGAGACCCAAAGAGTACTGGTTGATGGGAGCAAATCAACATGGCTCAAGGTGACTAATGGTGTCCCTCAGGGCTCAGTACTTGGGCCAGTACTCTTCAACATTTTCATTAATGGTCTGGATTTGGGTGTCAGATGCAGACTGGCAAAGTTCATGGACAACACTAAACTATGGGGAAAGGTGATCATACTGGAGAACAGGTTGAGGATACAGGCCAATCTGGACAGGCTCGCAAGGCAGGTGGACCAAAACCTGATGGCATTTAATGCAGAGAAATGTAGGGTGCTTCACCTTGGGAGGAAAAGCCAGCATCATACTTGTAGGTTTGGCAGTGCTATGCTCACTAGCACCATGACTGAAAGACACTTGGGGGGTCTTCATTGACCACAAGATGAACATGAGCCACCAATGCGATGCTGTGGCTGGCAAAGCAAACCAAACTCTGCCATGCATCTGTCAATGCATCTCAAGCAAAACCAGGGACGTCATCCTTCTGCTCTACTCGGCCTTGGTGAGACTGCAGTTGGAGTATTGCATCCAGTTTTGGGCACCCTAGTTCAGGAGGGATGTGGGTAAGCTTGAGAGAACCCAGAGGAGAGCCACCTGTATGATCAAAGACCAAGAGAGCAGGCCTTACAAGGAGAGGCTGAGGGACATAGGACTCTTCAGCCTGGCAAAGAGAAGGCTCAGGGGGGACTTAGTGGCAGCCTATAAGTCCATAAGAGGGGTGCACCAGGATCTGGGAGAACAGTTGTTCACCAGGGCTCCCCAAGGGATAACAAGGTGTAACAGCCATGAACTCCTGGAAGACCAATTCAGACTGGACATAAGGAGAAACTTCTTTACAGCCCGAGTGTCCAGGATCTGGAACAGACTCCCTCCAGAGGTGGTATAAGCATCTACTCTAGACTCATTTAAATGGCGTTTGGATGCTTATCTTGCAGGGGTCATTTGACCCCAGCATACTTCCTGCCTATGGCAGGGGGCTGGACTCAATGATCTTGTGAAGGCCCTTTCAGCCCCTAATATCTATGAATCTATGACCTGGTGTCTCCTGAGAAAATTCTCTCAGGTTGGTGCTTTTGTAGGAAGGACCCAGCTGCCTTAGTGGCAGAAAGCCCTGCTCTGAGCTGTAGTCAGAACTAGCCCCAACCTGGGATGGTGGAGGGTGCTGCTGGGGTGTCCCCTTGGTTTCTGTACAGGCGGAGTTTTTGGAAAGGGAAGGAGTACAAAATACAAGGGATGTGGAGCAGGAAGGTCAGTCTGAAACATGATTGTTTAATGTTCTTGCACAGTGAGGAGTTGACAGGGAGACAACAGTCCCAGCATTCACTCTATGTATTAAAACTAGTCCCCAGGATTGCCTCCCCCGCCCTCCCTGCCCACAGCCAAGATGCTGCAGTGATGGGTGACTATGCATGGCACCAAATTGTTAGAGCGGGGATTGTTTGCTCCATTACGCAAGCCAGCTCAAGAGGGAGTTATACCATGTGTAGCTGTGTGAATGCTTCCACTCAAAGCCCCTTCCTTGGCCACAATGCAGAAGCCCAGGACTTCCCTGCACAGGGCTCTGGGGAAGGCCAGGCCTCCCAGCAGGTCTGTAATCTGAACAAACCATCTCTGCTCCTGAGCATTCGGAGGTTGGAGGAATCCTTGTGCTGTACCCACACTACTTTCTACCTGTCAGCGTTACCTTAAATATGGCTCTGTTTAGCTTGCCCACAACTTAGTGTTAGCTTTGAACCAAAAGGTTCTGATGGAAAGAGAGAGCCGTCAACATTACCCACAGGAAGAGCTCTAACGGGAGACACCAGCATGGTGCTAGTGTAATTAAATAAGGACAGGAAGGGGCA